ATTAAAGTTGTCCACGTCGGTGCCGGTGACCGGCCGCCGGCCGACAAGCGTCCACGTCGGCAAATTCCAGTCAAAATTGACCGGAAGGACTAAATTGGCACAAAAACAAAAGGTTTTGGACTGAATTGGCACCAATTTAAAAGGTTTAGGACTTAATTGGCACCAAAAAGAGGTTTAGGACTAAATTGGCACCAATGCAAAAGGTTTAGGACTGAATTGGCACCAAAAAAAGGTTGAGGACTAAATTGGCACTAATGCAAAAGGTTTAGGACTTTTTTGGCACTTTTCCTTTTTTTTTTTGTAATTTCCTCTTTTAAAAATCAAAAAACATATTTCAAAATATGACTAGGTATCGGCGCTTGGAATCGAAACTCTACGCTTGTGCACGGAAACCCCAACACTGGTTCCTGACATTTAGAACCGAGTCTCTAGCGCCCGGGCCCGGGTCTATAAAGGCCGTGATCGGGTCCCTAATGCTCAAGCTTTGATCCCCAGCAGTCAAACCCAAGTTCACAAAGTTCATGCGCAAGTCCTTGGGGCTCGAGCTCGGGTCCTTGGTTAAAACATTCGTTCTTATAAAAATATAATATTTTAAAAAATCAAAATTTTAGTTATTTTTTATTTTTATTTTTCATTCTTCCTTGGCTGGTCGCCGGCAACTGGCCACAGGTGAGGGATGAACTCGAGCCTCACCGGCCTTGGGAGAGCTCGTCCCTCGCCAGCGGCTGGCGACCGATTGAGGAAGAAGGAAAATAAATAAAATAAAAATACTTAAAATTTTGAATTTTTCGGTAATTTTCCTAGAAAAATCAAATTAAGTTATTCATACCAAATGGCAGAAAATATTTTCTAGTTCATTTTTTGGTTTCAGCCAAACACCGATAACTTGTCATTTTCCTCGAAAATGACTTCCTGGAAAATATTTTTTGGAAATGTCACAATTTTCACGAAATAAACGGAGTCTTAGGATATATTTGTTTCGCTGAAAACTCAATGATAAATGAGCAAAAAACATTTTCTAAGAATATGGTTAGTTTTCTTTTGTATAGTGATAAATGATTAAAAACGTTTTTTGATGTTTGGATCTCATTGGAAAATGATTTCATTCTCATGACCATTTTCAAGAAAAAAATTTGAATTTTTAAATAATCTTATTTTTATTTTTTTTAAATTATAACTTCTCATTATTTTTTATTTTTCTCTTTTTTATTTTTTCTTTTTTTTAAAAAAAAATTCGAATTTTCAATTGTATTTTCTTTTTCTTTTTCCTCCTTCCTCCGCCACGACCGGTCGGCGATGGCCATAGGCAAGGTCGAGGTGCGAGTTCGCCAAACATGGTGAGTTCGGGCCTCGCCTGAGGCCGGGGAGCTCGAGCTTGCCAAATCCCAGCAAGGTTGCGCGTCGCCGGACAACACCTATAGCCTGTTGCCGGTCATTGTCGAGGCCGGCGACCGGCGAAGGAGGGAGAAGGAAATAGAAAAAGAAAGAAAAGAAAATAAAAAATAAAAAATAAAATGAAATATTAAAAAATTCAAGAGGAGCAATTCCAGAAAAGTTTTTTCACCTCTTTAAATTTAGGAATTCACTTTCCTAAATTTATGCATGAATATTTTCGTTAACCGAAAAGTGTTTTCAATTGACTAGTTATTTTCGGCGAATCAAATAAGTGAAAGTCCGGAAAATCAATTCCTAGAAAACACTTTCCTCCAAACAAACACACCCTTAAATACCGATGCTTTTTCCGATCCACGCTCATATAGCCACATTGTTCCAGAACGAAATGAGTCTTAAAATAAGCAGCTTAAATTCCCAATAGTTTGTCTTGCTCTTTTTTCTGTGGCAAAGAGGAATACAAATTGCTTTGGCTCGTACTGTACATGTTGGCAAGTTGGAAGGCTCCGTGGGTGCTGCTTATGTAACAACTATTTCATCATTGTCAAATTGACACTGTTTCCTCTATGTAGATATGAAAACTTTTCATGTACATGATGCTAGCTCACTGAGAAATTTATCCTGGATTTTTGTTTTCATGGATTCTCATTCTTGTAAATGATTCAGCATGAGGGTGGTACCTTCTTGCTACCTATCCAATGAATCTTTCGTTAAAGATATAAATGACATCTTTCTGCGCCAAAATCTGCACCTTTTATTCATTGAATATAAGGGTCTGCAACATATATCGATTCACATGCTGGATGCATACACTATATGAATGGATCTTGTTATGTGTTTTCTAGTCGTCTTCTACTCAAGGACGGTTCTGCTGTTTCATTAAAATATACGGATTTTTTTTTCTAAGCTGGTAGATTTTGAAAGAGTCGATAAGCATAAAAAAAGATTGTTAGTAAAAATAATTGTCGATCACTAGATTTTTGGTAACCTTTGTTTGTTTATTTTTCGACGCCTCAATCTTACTTACTCTTTTATGAATTTACCATTCTTTATTTGTGCGACTTAGTAACTTTGTCTGATTAGAATACAAATTAATTTTGTGTTATTGACTCTCATTTTAGTTGCTTACAAAAATTTCTTCAGTCATTTTTAATTTAACAGCATTAGTTTTTTTACAAACTTTTATTTATCTTCCTTAAAGATGCCTTAAATTTATTAATAATCATAGTTATCCTTTTCCCATTAGATCACCATGTAATTCAAGTTTGCCAACTCTTATTTAAGTTGCATATTGGCGATTTTTTTCCTTAAATTCTATCGATTTTTATTTCCTTACTTACCAACTCGCTAAATTAGAGTGATTATCAATTTTTTTCGATTAAATTATCAACTGGTTTAGCATTACCAACTTTTATTTAAGTTAGTTACCAATGTTTATTTGGTTTTTCTAAATTTTCAACGTTTCTTATTTCTGACCAAAGAATACTTCTCTTATCTTATTTTGAACAAAATTTCATTTGCATTTTCACTTGCAAGTACCTAATCAAATTTGCCAACGATTATATGAAATTAGTGACCTTCATGAGAGAGGTAGAAAAATTTGGATTAGTGATGGGTGACTGTTGTAAGAGAAGAAAGCCGAAACTCGCATCCACAAAAAAACTGAGCCAGGCCTGAGGAGGAAAACATCCATGAGAAAAGAAACCTAAAAAATGGGTTCCCCTTTTTGGTTTAGTGTAGAGTGCATACAATACAAATAAGTACATGACCATTTGAAATACAGAAAAGTAAATGCCTGTTGTACTGTCGAGTGATTTTGAATGATACTAGGTGATCGATTACTAGGTTGTATGGGCAGAAAGATCAAGGTTGCTTATTTGCCTACTTCCTGTTGCCTACAAAAAGTAGCAAAAAAGGGTATTAGTGATCAATGCCCCTATGCCTGAGTTTACTATTTTCTTCCTTGGTATAAAAAGATCAAGGTTGCTTGTTTGCCTACTTTCTGTTGCCTTTGAAAAGCAACAAGAAAAGGGCATATGTGATCAATGCCCCTTTGGAAACCGCTTGTTGCGGAGTAAGTACAGCGCAAGTGCCATAACTTTTGTACGGAGGACACTTAAGTGCCATAACTTTTTTTTGGCTCACTTGAGTTCCATAACTTTAAAAAAAAGATCACTTAAGTGCCACTTACAAGCTGGTCGTGAGGGCCCGAAACCGCGGCTTTTCCGGCCGAACAATGACCTTCCTGGCGACGCGAGCACCACCAGCTTGAAGAGGGGGTGTCGCTGAATCATTCCATGGCCTCCGTTCGTCTCAAAATTGCCGTTTTAGCCTCCGTTGACGAAGGTAAAAATGCTTCGTAGTCACACATTTATCGAGCCGATTTGTGTGACTACGAAGCATTTTTACCTTCGTCAACGGAGGCTAAAACGAAAATTTCGAGACGAACGGAGGCCATGGAATGATTCAGCGACACCCCCTCTTCAAGCTGGTAGTGCTCACCTTGCCAGAAAGGTCACCATTTGGCTGGAAAAGCCACGGTTTTGGGCCTTCACGACCAACTCCTCTGACAAGCTAGTCGTGAGGGCCTGAAACTGCGGCTTTTCCGAACGAACAGTGACTTTCCCGGTGAAGCGAGTACCACCAACTTGAAGAGGGGGTGTCGGTGAATCATTCCATGGCCTCTGTTCATCTCGAAATTGCCGTTTTAGCCTCCGTTGACGAAGGTAAAAATGCTTCGTAGTCACACATTTATCGAGCCGATTTGTGTGACTACGAAGCACTTTTACCTTTGTCAACGGAGGCTAAAACGGAAATTTTGAGATGAACAGAGGCCATGGAATGATTCACCGACACCTCTTCTTCAAGCTGGTGGTGCTCGCCTCGCCGGAAAGGTCACTGTTTAGCTGGAAAAATCGCGGTTTCAGGCCCTCATGACCAACCCTTCTGACAAGCTAGTCATGAGGGCCTGAAACCGCGGCTTTTTTGATCGAACGGTGACCTTCCCGGCGAGGCGAGCACCACCAGCTTGAAGAGGGGGTGTCGGTGAATCATTCCATGGCCTCCGTTCGTCTCGAAATTGCCGTTTTAGCCTCCGTTGGCGAAGGTAAAAATGTTTCGTAGTCACACAAATCGGTTCGATAAATTGTGTAACTATGAAGCATTTTTACCTTCGTCAACAGAGGCTAAAACGGAAATTTTGAGATGAACGGAGGCCATGGAATGATTCATCGACACCCCCTCTTCAAGCTGGTGGTGCTCGCCTCGCCAGGAAGGTCATCGTTCGGCCGGAAAAGCCGCGGTTTTGGACCCTCATGACCAGTTCGTAAGTGGCACTGAAGTGATCTTTTTTTTTTTTTAAGTTATGGCACTCAAGTGAGCCAAAAAAAAGTTATAGCACTTAAGTGTCCTCCGTATATAAGTTATGGCACTTGCACTGTACTTACCCCGCTTGTTGCATAAAATAGACTTGTACTCGGATTGAGTTCAACAGAAAAGAGACAATACAACTAACTCTTTACTCAAGTTTCAAGTTCTTTCCTTTACTTCCATCACTTCCACCCATTGCAGCGTATTTCTTCAACTTTAGGAGATTGAAGCCGAGAGCTATGGAGATTGAATGTTCTTCAGCCTTCAATGTTCTACCTAATAATATAGTGGTGGATATTCTTGCTCGGGTCGCCGCCAACTCTATAGACGATTTCTTCAATGCGAAAATAAGGTACTAATCTAATATACTCCTTCAAAAAGTATTCTAAAACAGGTGATTAATCATGAAATCTTATTCTTGGCAATATTTTGTCCCTGCAGTTGCAAGATCTTTAACAAATTAGCTGAAGAAGACTACATATATCAACAAATATCAATCAACAAAATTCCGGACATAATGTGGCGGCATGCCGAAGAAGGCAATGCCTTCATTAAGAGGTGCATCAAATGCAATAATTTGGAGGCTTTGTACATGGAAGGACTAGTACGTGTCTAATTACATTATTTGTCTCTCTAGTTTATTCCCTATAATTTCGTTCAAAGCTAGAATTTGACCATCAACAATTTGTATATGTTGCAGAAAACGTATATAAGTCTTGGGAAGGTAGAGCTAGGAATGGAGCTACTGAAGAGGGCCGCGCAAATCGGGCACTTTGGAGCTTCCTATGCCATCGGACTCCTCCTTGTTGGCGAGGATGGCGAGTTATTGGAGGAAGGAGTTCGACTGTTGAGACAAGTCTACGCGAGCGGGCGAGTGGTGGAATGCCGCAAGAAGTTTCTCCATGTCATGCACAACATATGGTGGAAATATGCATCGTTCTTCAAAAAAGAGCCTCCTCGCTATTACTGCCCAATGGAGACCAAGCACCGCAAGAAGAGAGGATGGGTGTGCGACATCAACCATTACGTCGAAACCGAATGCGAACAATGCATTTGCCGAGCAGAAATAGAGATCCTCTGCGAGTATCGCAGACGGCCGTGATTGCGAGGTATCATTACTTGGTGCATGATACACTCACATGCCGTCGACGCAAGAAGATGTAAGAGATTGTGCAAATTATATGTATTGGCTTCGATTAGTATGACGTTGTGCGTTCGAGGGCCCCCAACCAGTCCAAGGTTTGGGCCTTTTATGAGGGATTTGTGAGTTTTTTTTTTATATAGTTGTATCTTTCTTGCAATATGTTTTATCCGGGCTCCATCTGTATTTTTTGTGCTAATGAAATATCAGTATAGTGATTAGTTTTGATTTCTACCGGTGATAAACCCGTGCCTCCGGCACATGGAGAATACATAATAGTATTAAATAAAATTATTCCGATCAGAATTTTTTTCTAAGATCAAAAGATATATCATGAACAATCTTTTAATAAAAATCTAGAAAGGGAAAATAAGTGTGTGTATATAATGAGTTCAGAATTCACATTTTTATTGTTTTTCTGAACAACAAAAAAAATGTTCTGCGTGTTACAACAACGTATCGTTGAAATGCATTTCAGATCTCTATTAGAGAAGAAAATCTGTAGTAGTATCAGCACGCCACGTCAATTGATGATGTGTCATGCATTTGCTTAGTTGGATCCATTTAGGAACCGACACGTGGCGAATATTTTATAATGAAATAAACACATCTGAAAATTGGACTGCTGTCTATAAATGCTTATAGCAGCTTTTTGCAGCAAAAAATTTGAACGCCCCATCCAAAGGGAGAGAGAGTTTCTCCTTCTTCCTTCCAATGCTTTTCTTTTCAAGGGAGAGAGAGTTTGTCCTTCATCCTTCCTTCCAAGAGTAGCTCAAGTGTCTCTATCTTGGCTTAGAATCGGACTCCTTCGTCTTCGCTCGACCGCAGCCTCGAAGACTTCCATTTTCGCGAGTACTGCCACTCGAAGATCTCCACTTTTGCAAAGACCGCCGGTCCACTGTCACTTCGAAGACCTCCATTTTCGTGAGGACGGCCGCTTCGAAGACCGCCACTTTTGCTTAGAAGACCTCCTTGAAGCGGCGGGAGATGTAATACCCAATCCTGGACTCTGATTTCCAGGTTCCGCATGCTGATTATGAATTACGGGGTGGGTGTACATACGAGCTTCCAACGTTCAAGAAAGAGAGAGACAGGCAATGGGAAAAAGAATGCAGGAGAAGTAGGAAAAATTTCAAACTTTTTTCCTCGTCTTTTTGCCTGTACCGGTATTAATTTTGATCATTTTCAGATAATTAGTTTTGACATATCGCATATTTATCTTTATAATCTATCTTAGTAATCTGCTAATTATAGCTAAAATACCAACCTTAGCGTAATTCTTTTATGATTAGCTATTTGTAATTTAGACGTTTTTGTTCTCTTGTCCATTGCAAAATGAAACGGGAGATAATTTATGGAACTAATTGATAACTATGAGGCATATATCACCAATTTTTTCCGTTCTTGCACGACCTATTATAACCATGTACAATGACTGCTTGGAGTGTAATATGGTTTTTCGTCACAAGTCAGCACTTTAATGAGCAACGAGTTTTGTTATATTGCACGATGAGGATTGGATTTGATTGCAACATTTTTTATAAAAAAAAAAATTAAGATTGGGTTGCCACCCTTTTTTTGATAAGTCGAGGATATTAGGTTTATTTCGGACCATGTATTTAATACTATTATCGTCCTGTTGGAAAATCACTAAATAATTAGGAAGTTTACTAGTAAATTTTGTGTGAATAATAGTTTATTCATTAGGTTAATAATGTTGATATATTCTTCGACCAAAAATCAATATTGATACACTCAATGAAAATTTAAGAACCCCTTTTAAGTTCTTGAACTGATCCTTCAATTCGCCTACGGCCAACCAATCTTCTTAAAATGTTAGGAAGTAAAGGTTTTTGGTCATCCTTTTCTCTGGTTGTGTTTTTAGCAGTATCTTCAATATCAGTAGCCTAGGGCAAACTCCTAAGTCCACCAACTCAGAAAGCTGTCCTGAATCAAGATGCACCTATCAATGAAGTTACCGAAAATTTGGATATAGTATGTTTGCCATGTCACATAGATTATAGATGGAGTGGCCCAATATTCGTCATTACCATCGTTCGACAAAAGTTAATGTACTATAAATCGAGGAGAACTACAATTGAGTTTCAAAACATCATCCATTCGTTTAGAGTCCAAATAACCTGACGGTGAAGCTTTTGTAACGGTAGAAACGGTCAAATGTTAGCCACGCTTTTTCATGAAAGAAACCGAATGAATTGTTCCTTCAATTTCAAATTTTTTTTACTTCCCATGGCTTCTTATTTTCTTGGCTCAATTTAGGTTTAGATTAGAGGATTTAAAAAGGCCCAAAAAGCACTAATTTGAAAGGGAAACTCTCATAAATCCACTGAAATTTTTTTGAATGTGAAGTATGAAAAAAAAATTAAATACTGAAATATAGATAATCACAAGTAGAAAAATCTTATTTCTAATTAAAAAAGATTCCAGGATCAATCTTAGATCACATGAGCCAAAGGTAAAGTTAAAAATTTTTAAAAAAAGCATTTTTGATCGAATTCCATATTAAGTTTATTTTTGAGTTATTAATGTTTTAATTTAAAACCCTTTGAATTTACCTTAAATCTTTTTTTTTAACCGGTCAAGCGAGCTTCTTATTTTTGACTCATTCAAACTCATGTATTCAGTTGAATAGCGAAAATTAAGCGAAATCGTGGTGCAAAAGATTTGGCCAGATAACCGCTCAGAAGGAGAGATTGGAGGGGAGGTGACAAAAACGATATCCGCTCCGGTTCTCATTCCACCGTGACTCCACCGCGAGCTTCGTCACGCTGGTCATCCTCCAATACACACTCAAATCTAGAAGATTTGAACGCTCTAAATATTACAAGGTTAAGCATTTCATATCATATAAAATTTTTGAAAAATGATATTAATATATATTTTTACCAAAATTGACCAAACTTTGACCAGACATAATTTTTTTATTTGACGTCTTATTGACTCGATTTGTGCACCTATGCGAACCTTGTGAGCCAATTGTTTAAAAAATATGATTCGGTTTAAAATAGATATTGGGATCACAAATTTTGATGATTGACTCAATTTTCTTAATTGAATAGAATGATGATCAGATAGAGATAGTAACAACAAGCATTGAAGAGGCACTATGGAACCAGTTCCCCCTTAGAGTTTGGCTAAAAAGAAGTGCTTTCTCTAGTTTTCCGTAAACAGGTTGATTTGTTTTTTTGTTTTTTTTAATAATCTGATTTTTAGAGATTAATAGGAAACTTGATTGCCAGAGTTGTTTCCTTGTTTGGAGCCTAGGAAAGACCCCATTATTATAAATAGAAAACATGTCGGTTGGATTGAGCTTAATATTTTATTCATGGTACGAAAATAAACTATATTTTGCAGTATGATTATTATTCATGTAATAGGACAAATTTATTTTTTTAAAACTAATTTCAAATTAGATGGATAAATTATGCATTCCAACATAATTTATTTTGCCATTTTTAAAAAAAAATTAAAATCAAGAAATAATAAATCCGATAGAGATAAATGTTTGAGAATCATAAGTAAATTTTTTAAAGATATTTTTTCTTCATCTACTTTTACATATTTTAATTAAAAGAGATAAAGTCTACAAATTGAAACACTACTTGAAAGACATTCAAAGACAAAATATTTCACCACGACTACAAAGAAATTAATGAAGCGCAAAATATAAGTTCATGATGGTATAAACATTGAATATTTTATACTTGATGGTATGCGATATTGGACACTTGTTGTGTTTTGAACCACAAACCAAACTTAAATTTGTAAGTAACTTAGTTTCTCTTTTGGTCTAGCTATATTTTTATCCTCTACAGTAATCTATATTCAGGAATGACGAGCATCCTTCTCAAGATTTATCAAAAAGGTACATTCACGATTAAGTAATAGGTCTCAAATTATTGAAAATTTCTATGGTCGCGATTTCTAAAGAAGGTACGTCCACTATAAAACTATTTCTGTGCCTCCATCTTGCCTAAGGTACTTTTAAATTAAGTAACTTCCTTTTATTCTTCTGGTTTGCTGGTTTTGCCGGTTGGCAGGCCAGAGATGCATTCAATATTACTGTTTTTGTATGGTCAGAGCAATATTTCTTCCAACTGTTGGCTTTATGGGATCAAATCTTTAATTGCCAAATCGAGAAATGGTGACCAGAAGAATGGGTCGCAAACATCTGAACCGAGTGGCGTAGCTCCTAATGAGGTCAACTCAGAGCTAACCTATTATTATTATTATTATTATTATTATTATTTTGGTAACCCAGGGAACCCCCGCACGGCCGACAGCCGGGAGGTAAACCCTGGGGGCGACACGTGCTAGCCACCACACACGTGCACCGGTTAAGTCACCCTGCGGCGCCCGGAATTCGAACACTCAACCTTTTACGAGAGGAAGAGTGTCCTTTCCAGCAGCGCCACCCAGGTGGGTGGTAGAGCTAACCTATTATTGTAGTCTTCAATTACCAATTCTCATGGTAAAGACAAGAAATAATGCAAGAAGAAGGTCCCATGGTTGTGGAAAGTTCAATAGTCCAAAGTTGTTGCTATATCTTCATATGGGTTGATTTGAAGATACTTGATAGAGCAAGGCACATGATAGTTGACTTCCTTGAAAGGAATCAAGCACTGTGCACATCATGCCAATCGAGGCGCAACAAGGTTGACATGAGCTCATTGCTAGCAGAAATCAAGAGCTCGCACATGAAAAAAGAAAAGAGAATATATCAATTGACATTTGTTTTGTGCATGTGTTGTAGGGGTGTGCAAAACGGACCACCCAATTGGGAACCGCCCGAACCGAATTGGACTGGCCGGTTTGGTGCGATTCCTAAAAGTGTCAGTTAGGTTCCCAGTTCCTAAAAGTGGAGCCACTTTCCGAGCGGTTCGGTTCCCGATTCCAAGAGGAGAACTGCACCGACCATATTGGACTGACTACATATCTTT